TATGAGGATGTCTGTATGTGTAGGTAAATATTTCTGGGCATAATTATTAGGCAACATAATGAAAAACAGATATATACCCATCTCACTTGTTTATTTTCACCAGGTAAATCAATACAACAACACAAAGTTCAGAAATAGACATTTGTGACATTCAAAAACAAAACAAAAAAACAAATGAGTGACCACTATAGCCAGCTTTCTTCACCATGACGCTCAGAAGCCTTCCATCCATAGATTCTGTCAGTGTCTTGATCTGTTTGCGATCCACATTGCGTGCAGCAGACACCACAGTCTCCCAGACACTTTTCAGAGAGGTGTACCGTTTTCCCTGCCTAGATCTCACATTTTATGAAGGACCACAGGTTCTCCATGGGGTTCAGATCAGGTGAACAAGGGGGCCTTGTCATTATTTTTTCTCATTTAGACTTTTTCTGGCCAGCCACTCTGTGGTGTATTTTGATGCGTGTGACAGAGCATTGTCCTGCTTGAATATCATGTTTTTCTTGAATGATGGCAATTTCTTCCTGTACCAGTTTGAAGAAGGTGTCTTCCAGAAACTGGCAGTAGGTCTGGGAGTTGGTCCCAGAAGCTTATCTTTGATGATACCAGCCCACACCGGTACCCCACCTCCACCTTACTGGCATCTGAGTCGATAAGGAACTTGCTGTCCTTTACTGATCCAGCCTGGTGCCCATCCATCTGGCTGATCAAGACTAACTATCATTTCATCAGACCAAAACACCTTGGAGAAATCAGTCTTCATATATTTCTTGGCCCAATCTTGAAGTCTTGTCTTGTGTGTCTTGTTCAAAGGTGGCCTTTTTCCGGCTTTCCTTACCTTGGCCAGGTCCCTGAGTATTGAGCACCTTGTGCTTCTCGGCGCTCCATACCTGTTGCAGCTCTGAAATATGGCACAACTGGTGGCTAATGGCTTCCAGGCAGCTTCACACTTGATCCTTCTCAATTCGTGGGGAGTTATTTTGCGTCTTCTTTTTTCAACACACTTCTTGCACCCCTGTTGGCTATTTGTGCGATGATCAAGCTTCAAAAGCTTGGCAATTTCCAAACTGCTGCACCCCTCTGAAAGACATCTGACAATTTTTGACTTTTCAGAGTCTGTCAAATCTCAATTCTGACCCATTTTGCCAAAGGAAAGGAAGTTGCCTAATAATTAAGCACAGCTTGTATAGGGTTTTAATGTCATTAGGCCACACCCCTTCTCATTACAGGGATTCACACCAACTGATTTACTTAATTGGGATTTGGCTTTAAAGGCTATACAGCTTGGAGTAGGACAACATGTATGAAAGGCATGATGTGGTCAAAATACTCGTTTGCCTAATAATTCTGCACACAGTGTGTATATATATATATATATATATATATATATATATATATATATATATATATATATATACACGTGTGTCTGTGTTCTTGTGTGATATACAATAATAAATTTGACACTTAAGGTGAAATTTAAGACATATAAAGTCGTACTTAAGAGGTATCAGTCAATCAAGTTTATTTCTATAGCAAATTTAAAACCACAGGGGTAGCCAATGGGCTTTGTATAAAAAGAAACAATTTAAGAATTAATAAACTAGAATAAAAAATAATATTAATAACCAGGTTCAATTAAATTTCAATTAATTTCAGTTTATTTATATAGTGCCAATGTAGAACATAGGTCACCTCAAGGCACTGTACAGAGACAAAACAGATTGGTTCAAAGTTTTCTATCTAAGGAAAACCCGCTGATTGACTTAAAGGCAATCCCTTACACCAAGCACGCTCTTTGTGGCAGTAGAGAGGAAAACTCCCTGCTGTTCTCACCACTCTTCTCACTTCCTTCCAGTCCGAGGTGCTGCACCCTCCACACCACACATTGAGACAGCTGGTCAGAACACTCTCTATTGTGACATTCTATGACATTTTGAATTGAAAAAGCTTTCTAGATGGGAAACTAAACGTTGTCAAACTTGGAAATAAAGTCCAGTGGATTGTTTTTAATATTCTTTTATTGGAATGACTATGACCTGGATGACTAAGAATCTCCACCAGCAGTCAGAGCTATTACCTGTGCATGATAGTCTCTGTCAGAACTGCCCTTTGTCTCCGTTCTGTTCATTCCATTTTTGGACAGAATTTCTAGGCGCATCCAGGGACCGGAGGGTGTCTGGTTTGGGAATGATTGCAGATGATGTTGTCCTGTTGGCCTTATCAAACCAGGACCTGATGTGCACCGGGGTGGTATGCAGCTGAGAGTGAAGTGCCCGGGATGAGGATCAGCACCTCCAAATCTGAGACCATGGTTCTCAACTGGAAAAGATGGACTCCCCTCTTAAGGTCTCTGGAGAGTCCTTGTCTCAAGTGGAGGAGTTCAAGTATCTAGAGGTCTTGTTCACGAGTGAGGGACGGATGGAGCATGAGATTGATAGACAGATCGGTGCAGCGGTAGTGATGCGGTCGCTGTATCTGACTGTCGTGGTGAAGAGGGAGCTGAGTCAGGGGGAAAAGCTCTTGATTTACCGATCAATCTACGTTCCCACCCTCTCCTATGCCTAGGGACAAGATTGTGAATACAAGCGGCCGAAATGAGTTTCCTTGGCAGGGTGGCTGGGCGCACCCTTCGAGATTGGGTGAGGAGCTCAGTTACCCGGGGAGAGCTCAGAGTAGAGTAATTGCTCCTCCATGTCGAAAGGAGCCAGCTGAGGTGGCTCGGGCATCCGTTTTGGATGCTTCCTGGTCACCTCCCTCGGGTGGTTTAAGGCATGTCCTATTGGGAGGAGGCCTCGAGGAAGGCCCAGGACATGTTGGACGGATGGACGGACGGACTGACTGACTGCCCTACTAGATGGTCCAGCCCTTATCTGATGATATCACAACTTCTCCAAATCAAGGACTCAATGGTTCAGGCTTACAGATGGGATGAGCTGGGACCAGCAACTTCCAAGTGAGTAGCAGAGGCTGACTGCTCTAAATGATTTACTCCTTCCCTTTGCTGAGCATACCCAGATGCTCCAAAGTAACACAAACTCTTTATCCCTTGTGGTGCCTGCCCTTACAAACCTGCAAGCTTATTTGTCTAACTCCGCCTTAGCCCATGGTTCTAACTACAAGGATCTAGCTTCCCTTGGAAAAAGATGAAGGCAAACATGGAAAAGTGGTTTAGTTGCTTTCTTGATCACATCGACTTTAAGGGAAAAGTCTGGCTTATTTATACCTAAAACCAATAAGTTTGCAGTGATTTAATGAATTTAGTATTAATCAGTAAAGAAATGAATCTGTGAACTTTGCGTTTACGGATTCCGGGAGTGGCCATTTTTGCACAAATATAGTAAAACCTCACTCCTGACATCTTCCGACAGTGAGGTCATGGTGCAGTAAGCCTAGCGCCATTCTTCCTGCTCTACCAGCAAAATCAGTGAGAATTACTAGACACAACTGTAATTCCAATTTCCAAAGGACTTCACCATCATTCAGCATACTACATACTGTGAATGTTTTTTGTTGTGGACCACAAGAAGTTAGAAACAAAGTTAAAAGTAAACCAATGTTCCGGTTGAATTAAATAAACCTGAAAACTTTATCATAAAGGCCTAACCCTTTTTCAAAAAAGTAAAAAAAAACAAACCACTGGACTTTGTTTTGAAGTTTAAAGACGTATCGCTTCCCATCCAGGAAGCTTTTTTTAAATTAAAATGTCTGGATTAGCGTTGAGTTCCAAGCTTTAAAGAGTAGCCCAAAAAAGCCTTGTTATGGTTTAGAAAACATGCAAATTGAACCAAAAAAAAACAGCTCCACCCCTTAGTAATGGGGAGTCGCTGAGGTCTTTTTTGGCCAGTCCTTTTCTTCTGTTACGTTACTGTTGCCAAATGTATTAAATACAACTTTATAACACAAAAAGACAGCAGAGAATGAGATGAAAAGTAGCTTTATTGGTCCCAGGATGTCTGAGAAAAAAGCTGTTTTTAATATGCAACCTTCAGCCACTAATAGGGGTGGTCACGAACATACTCCATGATGTGCTTTAGGGCCAACCACGTCTCAGAGGCAGTGGGGATGATCTGATTGGCTGGCAGGATGAAACCATAGTTACCAGTGTCCCTCAGCTCAAAAGCGAAAGAGTATTTTATGCCGATATCGTAGGACCAGTCAATGCTCCCGCCACTGGCTTGATCTGAAAGAAGAGGAAGAAACAGGCTTGTAGCTTAGAAATAAGGTTTCAAATGTTGTTTTGAGGAGAAGTGTTACTTACAGATGATGTTGCAGATATTTCCAACGCTGTAGGTGGTGCCATAGAGGGAAGTGAGTTTCTGCACTGCAGCTCTAGCAACAGAGTCCTACAAACGAAAATGGTATAAGAATATGGGAAAATATTAATATGTATAAAAGAAAAAAAAACAAACTTGAAGTTCAACTGGGGAAAGCTGGCCAAAAAAAAAAAAAATTCTAAATATAGTTGCACTATTCATCTGCTCTGATATTTTATTTTAGGAAAGAATTATTTATTTCTTATAAAATGTAGAATGATTTTAAAAAGCAGGAGTTTATAATATCTTTGATATCTTTGATAACTTTACATTATATACCAAGTCGGATGATGCCTTATGGTATTGTAGGACAAAGTAAAATACAGTCTTCCAGGCCTGTTAAAGGGATATCTCAGATTTTTTATGGGGAGTTATCATCCCAAAGAGTTCGCAGAGCTGTAGTGGGGAGGTATCATATAATTGTAATGTACCAGAGAAATGTAAAAATCCTAAAAGACAAAGGCTCACCAGAAAGAGGAGTCATGTTTTCCAAACTAATTATTGCACTTAAAAAAATCTCCTTAAAGTGGAAATGCTTATGACGTAGTATGAAACTCTATGCCAGCAGTTTATCTATATATTCAAAAGAAAACCTGGGAAGGTTGGTTACAGTTTTATTAAAGGGGTCACAGAATGCAAAACCAAGTTAACATTGTCATAGATGAATAACGATAGTTCAATGGGTGAAATGGACGTACAGAGAAGTTCAAACCTCATCAACACCTCCTTTCTCTGCAAATTTCACAATTCTAAACTTCCACCATAAAACAAGCGCTTCAAACGAAGCACCGAATTCACGTCAATTCGAGGACGTTACCTTATTTGACTGTGGCCTGTACTTTTGTCACACCCCAGGGGGGGGCGGGTATAAAGTGTTGACTGCTGGGCCGCTGACTGGACCGGACCACAGCAGAGAGCCATGAGCCGCCTGTCCTCAGCTGGAGGAGGAGGGGCTGGGGGCCGGTAACAGACATCCCAAGTCTCTCGGGAGTCTCCCTGATATAGATAGTTGTTCACGGAGGTAGATTAATTATCCCCGATTTTAGACTATGCCAGGTGGTGTTTTTTAATGCGGATGAGAGCGTGCAGGCAATATAATAATTCATGAACCATGTGCGGATTAGAACTACTTCAATAACCAGGTTTGCGTTAGGGCTCATAGAAAAACAAATATGCCATTTTCAGCCCAACCAATGTTTCACATCCTATTCAGAGACTTTAAGGACCACCACCAAATACCCTATAGAATCATTCTAGGACCCTTTTAACTGAACAATGTACATATTACTCAAGTTTTTATGACATGCCATTGTTTTTCCAGCACTTTATAAGATGTTGCTTTCCTGAGCCATCTCTATATTTATGCTGTTATAGGCTTAGGCTGCTGGAGAAGACAGGGACCACTTTTCATCATCTTCAACTCCAAACTTTATGCTATCTCTGCTTTTTGTCATCACAGAAGCTTCATGTGGTCTGGTTCTGTTTAGCTGTAACTCCATCATGGAGGAAATTTCACCTAGGCTGCTGCTGCTGTTCACTTCATGGCAGAGTTGGGCCTGGTTCTGCTGTAGTTTTGGCATTAGTTGCACGCATGTAACCAGTTCTGCTGCTGCTTTCTATTAAAAGGGAATTTCTCTTTCCACTGTCGCTGCATGCATGCTCAGTTTGAGGGCTACAGAGTCAACGACTCAATGCAAGTAAATATCAATCACTACATACTCATGGGGAGTAAAAATCAGCTCTAAAAATTAGGATTATGGATATTTAGGGATCAGCAATGTTGGATTATGTAGTCATTGCAAATTACATTTTAGCTATCAGTTTCTGAAACTAAACAGTTAAATTTTTACTCTAACATCTCTCCACTTGCATACAAGTAAACTGCTGGCACTACATGAATAATCCTCACTTTCTTGTCACAAAAACAGAACTTTTTATATCTTTCTGTTATATTGCTGGAATGGCATTTTTGAATTTATTGCCAAAATTAACTGAAGCAAGGCTCCCATCTAAACAGTTGTTTGCCTTCCACCTATTTGTGAATTTCTTCAAACTAAAACAAACTCAGTGAGATGGGAGATCTTCCTTTCTGAGGTAAGGGGACTATACCTTATACCCATGCATGTCACTTTAAAAAGCAACAAATAATTGAAGCAATTACTGCTTCCTTTGGTGCCTAATTTCTTACCAACTCAGCCTGATCGGGAGCATTCCTGCAGGTATAGCCATAAGGGTACATGAGCAGCTGGGAGTATGCGTGCACAGAGATGAAGGACTTGAAGTTGCCGTGGCTCTGGATCAGATTTACTATGTTTTTCACCTCGATCTCAGAGTGAGCAGAAGGACCGTGATAGGAATCAGAGCAGGGATAGCTACTGGCACCAGGACCTGGACACAGTTTGGATTAAAGTACATTTTAAGCAGCAAAAATTAAAGAAATATGTTCTACAGTTTTTGACTTGTAATGGTATAATCATTGAGGAATGACTTAGTTGAGTGAAACAACCAAAGTCCAATAAAAGCATTGCTTCTGTCTCAGCACAGTGCTGCTTTTAGGTTCCAAATCAAAACATAAACAGACTTTTTAATTGATCTGGATTTTGACCATCTGACTAATAACAAACAACCACTTTAATCTAATTAACCAGCCGACTGTAGATGGATATAAAATTATTATTCAATAATCATTTAATAAGTCCAAATGGAAAATAAATGTTGTAATAACTCATCAACGCTTTCCCAACCAGCTGTAGGTGTTGATGGCTGTAGGCAGGAAGAATTTCTTTCTGTTGTGCAATGGATCTGGAGAAGCCACTGATTGAAGACATTCTGTTGGTGTTTGACATTCTGGTGAAAAGGAAGTTCATCATCCTTCCTGCCTTTTTTTTTTTAACTGATCTGGTACTTTCAGAAGCTGTTAAAGCATTTTTTTTCAGCTGTAGAGATGTTACTGAAACTTTCTATGGTTGCTATTGTTACAAAAGTCCAAAAAGAATTAAAAAAAAATCAGATCCAGCAAAGTAGGAGCTATAAAAGAACATTAGACTTGACCTAGCAGAGCTCCCCCAACAGATAGCCATCTTAAGCAGGGCAATTCTAGATGGCCATCACCAGGAAGAAGAAACGCATTAAAGAAAACTGAAAAATAGTTGGATGTGAGGTTTAAAGTTTTTAAACGTTCAATACCTTACCTGCAGGCAATGTTTTAATAGTTTTCATATTTTATGTAAATATTAACAGGTTTCTTATAAAGGATGATAGTAATAGTTATTCCAATCGGGATTAGAACAATCAGAAATGTTATCATGGTTATGTTAACATTAATTTAGGAAGATTTAGTGGAATCAGGTCATTTTTGCCTTTTGCGTTTATTTTGTACCCAAAACAATTCAGGAAAAAAAGGTGTCCCGGGGGATGTTTTGGTACTGACAAGCATCTAAACCATCTAAAGCATCCCCCATTTGTCATTATTTTTAAGAGGAGACTGCCCCAAACAGGGATCTAAACAAAAATATTACCTGGAATATATTTTCTGAAAATAATAAAATGATTAATCAAAACCACACAAGATAATCATGCATCTTTTTAATAATTGATAAAAATACCAAACTGAGATGAACTGATTAAAGTACAGCTTTGAAAAGGTTTGTTTTCTCCTTTGAAAATGTAGTAAGGAAAGAAAAACGTGGGGGAGCTGCTTAATCCTTCGAATGTTTCAGATTGGAGTTTTTAAGAATAATAATTGAACTTTTTCTTAATTTCTTTGGAGAAATGTAACTCTGCATTTAACCGATCCCTTTAGGGAGCAGTGTGCTGCTATCGTGGGGCGCCCGGGGAGCAGTGTGGGGTTATGGGTCTTTGCTCAGGAACCCAGAGTGGCAGTCTGTGGGAGCGGGGCTTGAACTCAGAACCTTAGGATTCCAAGCTCCATGCCAATACTGCAAAAAGTCTGCTTAGATCTGTGCTCCCATTGGATTCATCTTTTTAGACAAGCTAATGTGGATCCATTACTGGCGGGCCACTACCGTTCTCAAACCTTATAACCCTAAATTCAAACTCCCTGGCTCTAAAGTTCATACTCTGCATTCTCCAGCTCTTCATTTATTACCAGATATCCCCCTTTTACTACAGTCCTGGTTTTTATTTACAATAAAGCCTTGAAAAAGAAAATACAATACAAAATTAAAACCTGAATATATTAATCAAAATGTAATATTTAAATCATAATTTTTGACAAATTTAATATTTTTAAAGGTTATTTCTTTTAATATTTCAGTGTTATGAATTTATTTTTTTTTAATTGTGTTTCACGGATCACACTCTCTTTATTTCAAGCCAGACGGTCTGGACCAACTACAATGTTGTTGCTGACGTCCAGCAGAGCAACAGAAATGTGTCTTCACTCCTATTACAGATGAAAGCACTTCCCCAGCAGTGACAGAAGCTTTTTAAAAGTTTAAATATGAAAAAGAATTGCAAAATAAAAAAATAAGTACCAAAATTAAAAAGTACAACAGGAACAAATAGAACTCCAAGGATTAAAATTTTAGAAAACTGCAAAATGTGATCTTAAAACTTTTTTTGATTAAAACTTTTTTTCTAAAGTTTCATTAGTAGATTACATTTTTCTTCAAATTTCATGACTGAAAAAATTTCAAGCCATACTTGACAATAATCTTATACCATTTCTTTCATGTTAATGTTAATTTTGTGTGAACAGATAGTTTTGATGTAGCATCTGTGCAAAACTGACCACCAAATCCTGCATCCCAGTTCCTGTTGGGATCGACCCCAACACACTGATAGCCGGAGTTCTTAGAACGGGTCTTACGCCACATCCGATCCTGCAAACCATAATGCTTATCATAACTTTCTCTTTGGATTTCGGTTTAGACTCATTTTATTTAAATGGCTCAATAGAAAAGAGGAAATATGGTTGCTGTAAGACAAAATTAATAACAGGAAAACAGCTATTTGAAGCAGTGGTGACTTGCCTTAGTGTGGCTGAAAACATAACCATCTGGGTTGGCCACGATAAGCATGTAAATATCCATGGTGTCCAGAAGAGAGGTCAAAGATGCATCACTGCCATAATCTGTGGCAATCTGGGCAGGAACACAAGGTATTCATGAAAAGAAGTATAACAAGCAAGACTTTTTAAGCTCCACTCTTGTCCTACTTTGTTGGCTGTCCACACTCCTGTGGCTTGAGAGACCCACTCTCTGGAGTGAATGCCCAGGTCCATCCAGATAGCAGGGCGGTTGGTGCCTCCAGTGCTGAACTAAAAACAAAATCAACCAAAATGTGCTGCTTATTAAAAATCTTTTAAAGTTGACCTTTTTTTCCCCTACTGAAATCTTTCCTACCTTCAGGACGTACATGGGCCTGTTCTCATAGGATCTGCCGATTTCCAGCTTAGTCACCAGTTTTGGGTGCTGAGCCACCAGTGTGTCCATCCAGCTGTAGATCTGTACGGAAATAAGGTGTCACGTAACTACAGAGACTGTTTTTTCCCCCCAAGATGTTAAGTCGTGGCCACACATTACTAACGCTTGGGAATCAGATAGATAAGTCATGGCCATCATGTGATGATTAATCTGCCATTTATTTTTGTGCATCCACCTACAGTATAACCATGCAGCTCCTGAATGAAGTCAATAATGTGGCCAGTGTCTATATAGTCTAATTCTGTCAAAGCCAGAGCTCTAAAAATATAAAACTAAATTTGCAGGA